CAGGATTCATAGATACCCAGTGCAGGTGCCAGAGGTGACTGATCATTGACGCATAATGAGTAATCTTTTTGGAGTATGAAAGATGACAGAATCAGAATACCAGTGCATGTATGTTCATAAAGATTTCATTATGAACCTTTATAGTTACCCTACTATATAACTTCTCCATGTATTTTTAGGGATCTACTTTCTTTGTTGAATTTCTAAGAAATTTGTAGTACTCTAAAGACCCCATGCAAGTAATGTTTGACGGATTATAAAATAAGGAGAAGTGAATGATTGTTACTTATCTAGCTATGTGTGCCTTTGTAACTTTGTTCAAAATGAACTTTGTGTAGTTGCTTTTTAATTTCTGTGTTATATACTATCTCAATGAATTATTGTCTTCTCAATTGTGTTATTCAAGTTGAAGAGGCATAAAGAATAATACTCCGTACTGGTTTGGGCTTTAAACATTAGTCTAGGGCTTGTATAGACTACACATGTCTACTCATTTTGTAAAGCCTTTGGTTTGATTATATGGTTACCCATTGTTTTGGGCTTTGGTCTGCTTGTAAATTACTTTATACAGGGTACTATTTTATACAAATTTAATATCAAAAAAAAAAAAAAAATGTTAAGAAGTCTAAACTTTCTCCCTTTTCAGTACTTTTAATTTCATTGTCTGACCTTTCTCACTCTCTCTCTCTAAAAAAAAAAAAAAAAAAAAAAAAAAAAAAAAAAAAAAATAGTTGTACCATCAGGATAAGGTTGTTTTAGCTTGGGTGTGTGTTTAAGTATTTACTTTCGTGAAAAATATGAATGATGCAAAATGCTCTTATACACGAACAAGGTTTCTTTATATCATATGTGTGTATCTTTATATATTTCGTTCAATGAAAATTATGCGTGGGTAGAGTAGAAAATGCTCTTATGAGAATAAGGTTTCTTCATATTATGTGTGAGTTTGCGCGTATTTATGTATTTCGTTCAATAAAAAATATGAGTTAATGGAGTAGAAAATGCTTTGATAGAAGCATGTTTTTTTTTTCATATTATGTGTGTGTTTGTATTTTCAGTAGAAAAATATGAGTCAATAGAGTAAAAAATGGCTTGATTTGAACATATTTTCTTCATATTATATATATATATATATATATATATATATATATATATAGATATTTGTTACTTTTCTAAACTAGGTCGTTAAGATGGCAAGATAGTAGCTGCTGCTTCTTTACCAATTTAGGGAGTAGGGTGAAGGGGGGTTTACATACAACCGATGCAAAATGGTTTATGATTGAATTTCATAAGCATTCTTATGTATAATTTGTTAAATCCAAGTCCATGGTCTCCACAAGTATATATCAAGATCAAATTAATGAAATTTAGACACCAAAAATACATTATTTAGTTTTGAAAATTCCCAAACTGTCTTAATTTTTATAATTTCATATGCATTTTGATGTTGATCTCCTTTTAAAATGTGTGTATCTTTATGTATTTCGTTTAGTGAAAAATATGACACAATAAAGTAGAAAATGTCCTTATAGGAACATGATGAATTTCTCAATATTACGTGTGTGTTTATGTGTTTTGTTCAGTGCAAAATATGAGTCAATGAAATACAAAATACTCTTATAGGAACATAATTTCTTCATATTGTATGTGTGTTTGTGTTTTCAACGAAAAATATGAGTTGATGAAATAGAAAATGCTCTGATAGGAACAGAGTTTGTTTATATTATGTATGAGTTAACGTGTGTTTATGTGTTTCGTTCAGTAGAAAATATGAGTTAATGGAGTAGAAAATGTTGTGATAGGATCATAATTTTTTCATATTGTATGTATGTGTGTTTTCAGTGAAAAATATGAACTAATGAAGTAAAAAATGCTCGGATAGAAATACGGTTTCTCGGTATCATGTTTTCTTAAAAATTTCTCTACCAAAGCCAGGGGGGAATGCTTCTACAATGTGTGATATGAAAATGTTTTCTTAAAAAAAAAAAAAAAAAGGTTAAGATAACATGATCGTACCAGTTCTTTCTTTTCAGAGCTTGGCAAAATGGTTTACGGTTGAATCAGAGGCATTCTTATAATTTGTTAAATCCAAGTCCATCGTCTCCACAAGGATATATCGAGATCAAATTAATCAAATGAACAAAATTTAGACACCAAAAAGACAAGCCATATTAATCATCTTTTTCTATATTTTTTTTGGAAAAATTACTACCAACCTATTTTTTCATCCAAGTATCAATAAATTCTGAAAAAAAATATCTTTAGGACTAATAATCCTACTTTAGAGATTTTTTTCTCATTTAGGTAGTGTACTATAACTAAACCATTCATCTATTCCCTTACTAAATTAAATAATACTCTTACTATATTAAATATAAGGGTAAAGTACACTAAGACCCCCTGAGGTTTGGCATAAGGACACTCAGGTGAAAGTTACTTGCTTTTTGGACAATGACACCCCTTAAAGATTGAAAAGTGGACAAAGACACCCCTTGAAGCCAACTAACATAAAAAATTGACCAAATTGCCCTTTGACTATTTAGTTGACTTTTTTAACTTTGCAAGTTAATAATTTGGACTAAACTACCCTTATGAGACCGATGAAATATATATATATATATATATATATATATATATATATATATATATAGATACATATCCATAAAACAGATTAATTTTTGGTGCAATGTACGAAAGACATTTAACAATGCAAATTTTATTTAAGAGTATTCTTACATAAATTTTATCGTGTTTTCTCTTTCAATAAATACAATAGAATGCAGACATGATATGTTATTTCTAATTCCCCTGGGTTTTTTTTTCAGATAATGGAAACAATGGGATGCTCTGTTCGTTCCTAAAGAAGTTACACACATCCTAAAATAGATTAATAAATTGGAGAATAATACATTACACCAAAAATTACATGTCATTACAGTCATATTACATAAGTAACATTTAACTTCATAAAAGTAGCCATCCACATCCCACAATCCATAATAAACTTGTACCAAGTCATTACATAACCAACATTTGACACCAAAATTTACATAATCTGTCATTACATAACCAACATTCAAGTGTCAACCAACCATCCAACAACCAAGTGTCAACTAACTAACAAAAAATAACCCAACTGTTATGTCCATGTCATATGTGGCATTACAAAAATACTTGTCCCAGCAAGTGTCCCAAAAACAAAAAACCAAATAACCCAATTGTGTTGTCCATGTCATATGTGGCATTACAAAAATACTTGTCCCTGCAAGTGTCCCAAAAACAGAAAACCAAATAACCCAACTGTGTTATCTATGTCATATGTGCCATTACAAAAATACTTGTCCCAGCAAGGGTCCCAAAAACAGAAAACTAAATAACCCAACTGTGTTGTCTATGTCATAAGTGGCATTACAAAAATACTTGTCCCAGCAAGTGTCCCCAAAAACAAAAAAGCATGTTACCTAAATCCTAAATAGCCAGTCAATTGCTGATGGTCCACTAGATTGGGTGGAGGGTGTAGCTGCTGCTATACTTGACACTGTATAATTTCTCACCTGCAAAAAAGAATATTTGCATATATAATCACATTAGTGTCCTGATTTCCAGTTGATTAATATGAGGTTCTTTGGATTTAAATGTCTGATACATAAATTTATTGGGTTAACAAACTAGGCACTAATAAATATATACAAGCAAAACATGTATATTAGACCTGTGTTTTTGTTTGGTATCATATAACATATAAAAATTGGATATCACCAATAAGTTGTGTGATTATATATGTTGTTTAGGTCCAATGGTCCTAGTAAGGAAATTAAAAAAAAAAAATGCAAAAAAAAGAAAATGAAAAGAGTAATGCTTACATTGGACTGACTGGCCTGTGTTGTTGTTCCTGTAACCACACTAGATTGAGTAGGTTGTGCATAACCACTAACCTGCAATTCCGAATGTACAATTAAAAACAAAAAACCAACACATTTAAAAGAAAATTTAAAATAACCAAGAGTAATGCTTACATTGGACTGACTGGCTTCTGTTGTTGTTCCTGCAACTACATTAGATTGAGTGGGTTGTGAATAACCATTGACCTACAATTCTAAATGTACAATTAAAAAATATAAAAAAAACCAACACATTTAGAGGAAAATTTAAAATAACCAAGAGTAATGCTTACATTGAACTGACTGGCTTGTGTTGTTGTTTCTGCAACTACATTAGATTGAGTGGGTTGTGAATAACCACTGACCTACAATTCCAAATGTACAATTAAAAAATATAAAAAAAAAACCAACACATTTAGAGGGAAATTTAAAATAACCAAGGTTTACCTGTGCTGCAACTATTTTACTCCTTGTCCTTGCTCCTTGACCTCTCATTCCTTTATTTGCTGCTGAAGTTGATCCTGACCCATGCTTTCCTTTCCTTGATCCTTGTTTTCCTTTGCTCTGAATTGGAGCCCTTTGATAGCACATTTTGTTGTGCCCAGTATCCTTGCATATGCTACAATGAATAACATTTGACCTTTTACTAGCCTGTGGTTCATCAGCTTCCCTTTTCCTTGCCACTCTAGGTCTGCCTATAGGCCTTTTTAGTTCTGGGGGAAGCAAATCCTTCTTATCTACTTTATCCCATAAGCTCTCATGGTGCATGGGATACATCAAATTTCTGTATGCTTTAACATAAGTGTACCTACTGAAGAATCTATGACAATACTCCTCAATATTCCCTCTCCTCCATGTAACACATGCTGCTACATGCTTACATGGTAAGCCACTGATCTGCCATTCCCTGCAATCACAATTTCTGCTCTGAAGATTGACAACATATTTCATTGTAGTTTCCTCTGTCACCTCAAACATATCACCACATGGCCAGTTCAGTTGACATGTGCTAGCCTTTTCAATAACTAAGTTTGATTTATTTCTGATTTTTGGGACTGCAAAATTATCCCAAGTAACAGATTTTTGAAACCTTTTGCAAAATTTGCTCATAATCTTCATTCATATACCCTCAAACATAGCAGTTATAGGTTTTGCCCTCACCCTCTTAAGCCATAAATTGAATGATTCAACTGCATTATTTGTCAAAAAATCACATTTCTGTCTCTCATCAAACTTATGTCTTGCCCATGTTTCAAGTGGATGATTCATCAACCACTGCCATGCTTGTAGACTGCTACTTTGTATCTTTGTCATTGCTTTGTTGAATTCCAACTCAGTATAGGCCCTAGCTGCCATCCAAAACAGTTTTCTATACTTAACCCCAGGATATATTGTCCTAAAATTGGCATAAATATGCCTACAACACCTCCTATTGAAAGCATAAGGATATACTTCATCCACAGCTGGAAGTATGCCCTTTTGACCATCAGTCATAATTACCCAAGCCATATTTCCACACGTGTCACCTGTGATTTTGTGGAGGTGTTCCAAAAACCATTTCCAACTTTCTTTTCTTTCAGACTCCACTACTGCATATGCAAATGGGTATAACCCATTATTCCCATCAAGCCCTATTCCAGTAATTAAAATACCACCAAAGGGGCCTTTCAAAAAACAACCATCTAGACCAATAAATGGTCTGCAGCCATCCCTGAAGCCATTTAACACTGATGCAAATGATATAAACATCCTAAAAAACCTTGGTTCATCATCTTGTGAATGTTTTATAAACACCAAACTCCCAGGATTTGTTTTTTGAATCTCAGCTGCATATTGCCACAGTTTAGAATACGAAGCTGAATGGGTTCCATCACTACTTTGTAAAGCTTTATTTTTAGCTCTTCTCAAGCATTTCTCACTCACTTCCACCTTAAATTGATCTCTTACTTCTTGTTCCAACTTATCTAAATTGATGTCAGGTTGATGTCTGAATGCCTTTTCAAGTTTGTTTGCTATGTATGTAGAAGTAACCACCTTGTTCTTAGTGGTTCTAATGCAAGTGTGTTCTGGACCAAGTGAAGTAACCTTAAAGGTGCTATTATCTACTTGTAGAGTTGCATGGATTCTCCATTCACAACCTGGGTTCCCACACTTACTAGTTACTCTAGTCCTCTCATTCTTCACCATCACCAATTTGAAACCTTTTTGAACTGCAAAGTCCTTTAACACAGTCCTAAAATGTTTAATGTCATCAAACAAATGATCCATCACAAATTTAATCTCACCATGATCACCATACTTGAACAATATCCCCTTAACGTGTTTATGCACATTAACTGGTCTTTCATCATCACTTTCTCCAATAAAATCAGCAGTGTCACTATAATCAGATAATTCACCACAACTGTTATCAGGACTTTCCATTTCTAATTCAATATTAGCCCAATCATGTGCCTCTTGTCCCTCATCATGTCCCCATTCTCCCTCATTCCACTCCTCATCATCACTGTCTGAGAAACTGTAATCAGTTTTATTTTCAGAGTCACTATCATCTTCCCCCACAGGATTTTCAGGTACCATTGGGTCCATATAATTGTCTAAATCAATTAGATCATCCTTATCACCAATCTCAACAATTATATCTATCTCCTTAACATCTGAGTTCATTTCAAACATTATGATAAGATCATCATCCCCATTTAATCTCATTCTGCCACTATCCTCAGAAAATTCATAAAACATATTCAATGCTAAACCAGTCTGATTATATTCATGTTTAAGCACAAATGCATAAGCAGTTGAGTACAACTCCAAAAAACGATAACCATTTGGATGTATCCCTTTCACAACATGTATGTGACCACCAAACTTAACTAGGAGATCATGGACTTTGTCATTAGCCATCTGCAACTGAGAAAAATAATTCACACATGCATAGGATATACAATGTTATCTCAGAGAATATCATGCAATTAATCAAAACTCTAAAGACAACATGCATAGGATAGGCATTGTTAAGACAAGAACCAAACCAAGTGATTGACACAGTATATGTCTACCAGAGCTGGACACTAAATTACCACTAATTTTGCATAAAGTTCGTCATACAATAAACATTCATAGATCAATCACTATGGTTGCAAAAAGTCAGAAACATGCAATCTTATAGCATGTGTGAATTAATAACAAAAATTTTGGTAAAAAAAAAAGCCTTTTGTTTTCATTCTGCCATAATTTCTCAAAATAACAAAATTCTGGTTAAAAAAAAAAAGGAACAAAACCCCATATTTTTTTTGAAAAATTTCTTGTAAACCGAATAAAGAAACATGATCAAAGATTTCTTTACCAAAAAAAAAAAAAAAAAAAAAACCATATTTAGAGAACAGGAACAAAGATTTCGTTAAAAAAAAAAAAAAATCTCATATTTAGAAAACAGAAACAAAGATTTTGTTAAAAAAAAATCCCATATTTAGAAAACAAAAACAAAGATTTGGATAGCTAAAAAAAAAAAAAAAATTAGAAAACAGAACAAAGATTTCGTTACAAAAAAAAGGAACAAAACCCAATATTTTTTTTGAAAAATTTCTTGTAAACCGAATAAAGAAACATGATCAAAGATTTCTTTACCAAAAAAAAAAAAACCATATTTAGAGAACAGGATCAAAGATTTCGTTTAAAAAAAAAAAAAAATCTCATATTTAGAAAACAGAAACAAAGATTTCGTTAGAAAAAAAAATCCTATATTTAGAAAACAGGAGCAAAGATTTCGATAGCAAAAAAAAGAAAAGAAAACAGAACAAATATTTTGTTACAAAAAAAAATAAAAAAAATCCCATATTTAGAAACAGGAAACAAAGATTTCTTTTAAAAAAACCCATATTTAGAAAACCTCATTTTAGGAAAGAAAATAAAGAAAACCAAAACCGCATTAAAAAAACACCATATTTTAATAAATCAGGAACAAAATTTTTGTTAAAAAAAAAACCCATATATTTTTTTTTTTGTAAATTAACAAAACGATTTCAAGAAATATCAAGGTTGCAATAGAAGCAGAACAAAGATATATAGATATATATATATACACACGAATTTATTAATATAATTTAGAAAAAGAAGAAGAAAGAATAGATTAATATAGATATATATATATATATATATATATAGAGAGAGAGAGAGATAAAAATGTGTTGAGAGAGAACCCGAGATGTGTGGAGACCAAAGCAGAATAAAGATACTGGTTGATCTTGACGAGATCGCGAAATCAGCCTCCAGAATAAGGGTTTTAAGATGATCATGGTGACTGGAGTTTTAGGCAGAGATGGTGATACGAAGAGGAGAAGAAATATTCTAGGGTTTCAGAGATGGTGATACGAAGCGGAGAAGAAATGATTCGCACAGAGAGAGAGGCCGTATATCTGGTGGGTGGTTAGAAGATTAGATTGTTGTTAATCTGGAGCCACTTGGCGCTAATTTGTGGTGCTAAAATTTTGAGGGGTAATTATGTCGTTTTGACATGTAATGATATTTTGTAATAAATTTGAATTTAAAATTAAGGGGCAATTTTGTCTTTTCATATGATTTAAGGCCATGTTTGGATGGAATTTTTTTAAGGGGGTGTTATTGTCCCAAAAACAGATAACTTTCACCTGAGTGTCCTTATGCCAAACTTCAGGGGGTGTTAGTGTACTTTACCCTAAATATAAAAAGGACTAAATGCTCTCACACCCCCCTCAAGTTTTAATTTATTACTTTCATATTAAATCTCTGCCAATTTTACTAATACATCCCTTGAGGTGTGGTTTAATTTGCTCTCACACCCCACTTTTAAAAATGATAAAATAAAATACTTAAATTACTTAAATTACCCTCCTTTCTTTCAAATACATTTTTATTGTTGGACTTTTTTTACCCGTTTGCCCTTTTTCTTCTGCACTAGTGGAAGCAATACAGTGGCTTTAGAAGCTACTTTTAATCTGTTAACGCCATTTGCAATTTGTTTCTGAGTTGATCAGTGGGCAAGGATTGCCACGGTGGGTGTGCAAGGAAGCAATCTCTGAACGCCGGTGGTAATCGGACGGCTATGCAAGGAGGGAACTGCCGGCTGTGAAGTTCTTGTCTGCGATGTGGTTGATGATCACGACCATGGGGATAACCGATGATCACGATTGACGAGTACTTCTGCAGTCGCCACGTCAAAGCTGTTTTACCGGCGAGAAACGGGGACTGGACTGCGAGATTGAACTGACCGGCGACTATGGTGAGGAGTCGAGGACTAAACAATCTGTTTTCTGCTTTCTGTTTCAGTATCCGTGAGTCCAGCAGCTTCATCTCTGGCCAAACACATTAACAGATCCATTTAACAGTGCACCTCTCTCTCTACCCTCTCCTTGTTTCCTCTCTCTCTCTCTTAAACTCGCCGGAAATCAGCTCATCCACACTCTCTCTGTTAGCTATAATTGCAGAAAGAGACTATGAGAATGGGTTGATTTTAACTCATACTGTGCCCAACTTACTGAAACCTCTGTTTTTCTTGTGTATTATTGAACTAGTAGCGTTGGGTTGTTCTCTGAATTACACTTTCCTGTGAAAAACAGAAGGGAAAGTGACGGAAAATCTCAGTTTCCCTTCCATTTTTCAGTGAATCCGCATCTGGGTTTTCTTTCTGATCCACCTCGTCCGTTCAGACTTCAGAGCCTTGCTCGCCAGAGCACAGTTCCGATCACTCCATCGTGGACCTCTCTTCAATTCCTCGCCGGTAAGCTTCTTGCTCTTCGCGGCTGCCCGGCACTCGAGTTCCAGATTTTGCACTCCAGTTCTCAGCTTGTGCCGACACCTTTGTCGTTCCCCGTTCAGTCCGGCAAGTTTGGACGGCGTTTTGATGTACGCTTCTAGATAGTCACTGATGAACACACTTGCGGGTATGTGGAACTGGTTCTCCGCCGCTGTCTTCTTATCGGACTTGGGAGCCATTTTAGAGAGAGAAAACCAGTGGAATTATAGAGAGAGAAAGAGAGTGCTGGTTGTAATATTGTCATTTCACGGCTTTCTTAGATATATGTTAAATAAAGTTAAGTGTGTAATAGTAAACTCTTTTTTTTTTTTTTTTTTTCATATTTTATAAAAGGATTGTGAGAGCAAAATTAGATGAAGTTTAGTATGAGAGTAATAAATTGAAACATTTAGTGGTGAGAGCATTTAGCCCAATATAAAATTAGGTTCAAACTTTCATATATATTAGACATTTAATTGAATAAAAATTTAAAATATATACATTTAATTAAATTTTTATAAAATAATTAATTTTTTAATACTAAAATTTTATATTTTACATGAGTTTTTGAATTGAATTTTATTTAAATTAATTATCATTTAAACTCCTATTGTAATATTATTAAGTAATTAAAATTTAAATGTATATATATATACACGAAATTCAATGACTAAGAACTTGGAATGAGTCTTATCCTTTGAGAGTGGAAGTTGAAAAATAAAATTATATATCAATTTCGAAATAAATTTATAATTACAAAATTTTACAAAGATGTAATGATTTAGGATTTATTTATTAAATAAGATTTATTTGTTGTATTTTCTTTTTATTACAAGTCTTTCTCATGAAATATTCAACTTTTAAAACAATATTTTCAATAACATCATTCCAAGGTTAAATTTCAATAACATAATTTTCAATAACATTCATTTTTTAAAATTCGGTGGATATATTTGATTATCTGTGGCGTACCTATAGTTCTCTTATTGGTGTAGTTTCGCTGGCTAGGTAACCAATTGGTGCAATGTAAAAGGAGAACTGGTTTGATTTGCTGCAATTACCTTTTGTGGGCATTTACAATGTAATAGCACAATAGTGGTGTAAGTATTATAATGGGAAGGGTAGAGGGAATGACAATAATCAAACTCTGATTTTTTGGATGGAAGATATATGTTTTTTACCGTCTTAATGTTTTGGAGGAAGAATAAAGATTTTTTGTGTAGATTCTGTTGGAAGATTTTGTTCTCCAATATTAAAAGATAGTAAGTATTCATCAAGTTTCAGAGTGGGGAATCTGTCGAGAACTTGAGATGAATGGGACCTCAAACTGTCGCGCCATGTATCCTGGTTTTTCCAAAACCCAACGCTTGCCTTAAAATTTGGAATATCATCATCCATCATTTTTTTTTGATAAGTAAGTATAATCATCCTTAATCTTTACCTTAATCTCAAATGAATGGATCGGCCACATGAATGCTTTCTCTTCAAACTTTTTTATTATATGCCAATTCACCTACTATATTTAACTTTTTAATATTATTTTTAATAGCCTCATCCCATGTTATTTTTGGCCGTTCTCTCCGTCTCTTGCCTTCTATTACAATTGTCCTTCTTCGTTTGATCGGCACGTCATTAGGTCTCCAATGTATGTGTCCAAACCATCTAAGTCTAGTCTTTTGAATTTTTTCACCGATAAGTGCTACACCTAATTTTCTTCTCACACTTTCATTAGTGACCTTATCTCTTCTATAAACTTTTGGAATATGATAATAAAATTTTAACTTAACAACCTCTCAGGATTCATTTATACCAATAATAGTTTGAGAAATAATTTCATATATTGTTACATAATTCTCAGTTTGTAGATTTCCAATGATTTCTAGTGATGGACCTTTGCTTTTTTCGCTCTTCATATTCAAGGAAGAATTCGCCCGAATGAGCTCGAACAGATTGGAGAGTGCGGGCTGTTGGAACTGAGTTTGATCCCGGCTCAGAGTCCTCGTCTCGGAACAGAACTGCTGAGAAAGCCTTTGGAGTCAGGCAGAAAGGGAAGGGTTCCGAATCTGTCTCCAGTCAGTGCGTCATCTCCCTCGCGCTAAACGAAAGAGAACGAACGAACGAACTGGGGCTGCCC